GAGAAAAGATCAGAGAAAATTAGTGAAATGTATGAAGTTTAGAGTATTCGCTGGGAAGAAATGCAGTTTATTTCAAGTGTCTTGCAGTGGCTTGTGGCTACTAGCACTGAGCAGAAGAGGCCAGCACTGGCGGCCGTTGGCCACCTCCTCCGAGCTTTCTCCCAGGCAGCACCCCTGCAGCGTCTCTGATGGAGGCCCCTCTGGCCTCTGAATATGACTAAGTGACGGGGCTTGGTATGTCCGATGGTTACAAAAGCCTCATATTTACCTGGAATTACCTCCCTGGCCTCTGGGTGGCACCAGCCCAGCCTTTGTCCTTTTCCACAAGCTCCTCATGGTTCTTTGCTGTTTGAAGGCCTAGTCACGAGACGTTTCCAGGGACTATTGCTTCAGGCTTAGCAGCCTGTGCTTTTGGAATTCATGTTTTGGCCTGGCCTGGTGAATGGTGGCAGATGGGTGTTAGCACACATGGTGTCCCCTGCTGGGAATGCTGTCACCCCTCTCCCTACACCCCCTAACCTGGTTGAGCCCTCTTGCTCTTCAGATCAAAGCTCAAAACCTCACCTCCTCCAGTAAGCCATCCCTGACCACCACCAACCCCACCAGGTCCGGCCTCACAGCCTCCTGCACGTCTCCTTGTGCTTTATCTCACATCCTAGCCATGTGTTTGTGAAATTCTCTGATGAACATCTGTCTTCTGCACTCGACTGAGAGCTTCCCGAGAGTGGGGACTGTGGTCCCTGACTCACTGTGTCCCCACTGTCTGGCCTTGATACCAAGCTGCCAGGTCACGGGAGGCAAGAGTGCTGTTGTAAAGACGAGACAGTCTCCAACGGGGCTAGGTTAGGAGTTGCCTCAATAAAATCTTTCCTTTTCAACATGTATAGATAACTTAGTACATCCAGGTACTGTCCTGGATGCTTAACTTAAATGACTTCCTTTAAACACCACACCGATTATACCCATTTTACAGATCCAAGTGGAGGCTTGCCCCAGATCACAGAGCTAGCAGATAGCAGAGCTGGGTTTGTGCCACGTTGCTCTGGCCCCTTCTCAGACTTGAGCTCAGCCTGTCCATTCTGCTAGTCACATAGGGCCTGCCCCCGTCTCCACCACTCCCAACCCCCACTCTGCGATGGAAGGCAAAGTCCATCTGGACTCCCGTTCTCACAGGCAGAGTCCAAATTGATGGGTGAGCCTCCCCGGCCTGTGGACACTCATGGTCATCGATTTTGGTTTTCGTATCGATTCGTTGGTTAGCCCTACCTAGAACCTGAGTTCTAGGGAGGAAACGTGTGAAGTAACTGTCAGTTTGAAAGCTTCTGTCCCATCAACATCAGGACACTCGCCCTGTCATAGGAGTCAGTTTCTCAGGCCTGTCTGGCCTCTGACCAAGGACGTTCCTGTTGGGACTGGACAACAGATCTGTAACACGTTTGATGTCTAAGGCGTTAGACTTTTCTTCCACCAGCAGAATCTTTTGAAAGTATTTTGAAGCTTTTTTTTTTTTTTTTAGCTGAGCCATCCTGCCACCTGTTGGCAGCCCAATGGCAGCTCAGCTCGGGCCATGAATCGAACCGGTGACCCTGTTACTCAGAGCTCGCGCTCTTGAGCGAGCTCTTAACCAACTGAGCGTATTTTGAAGCTTTTGATCAGATTTTTGTGGTAGTTGACAGAAAGGGGCTTTTTTTAAAAAAATACATTTATTTATGTAAAAAAGTATGAATCAATTTAAACTATAATATTGCTATGGCAAAAGGAGACCCACTAACGACCTAAGTTTCAGCACCATTGAAATAGATTGTACCCCCCACCCCCACTCTTCTCATGGTGACCAGTGAGAAGTCCTGTTCGCTGTGCCTCCTAAGCGTCTCCAGATAAACAGCCACCCCTGAGTTCAGAGCACTGAGCCACTCTACAAGCTTTTGTTAGTCATCAGCTAAGTGCCAGATGGCAGCACACAGCCCTGCCCTCAAGAAGCTCACACATGTCTGGAAGAGTGAGATAAGCGAACCAGTATCATGCAGTAGGGTGCATGCAATACAAGAGGGGTAATCAGAGTGCTTTAGGAGGCCCCCCGAACCCAGGCGGGGGCTGAAAGGTGGTGGTCACCTTGAGCTGAGTCCTGAGAGACTTGGTAGGATGTGGCCAGTAGGAGAAGGGAGGTAAGCAGGTAGAAAGGTGAGCATGTGCCCCTGGGCGACCCTTTCTGCTGCTCTCTCTTCCGTTGTGTAGATCCATATTTCCATTTAGCACCACTTTCCTTTTGCCTAAAGGACGTCCTTTTATTGGGTTGTCGGAAAAGTCATGACGTATTTTTTTCTATGTTTTTCGTTGCAAAAATATGTCATGGCTTTTCCGACAACCCAATACATTTCTTGTGTGTGGATCAGTTGGTGATGAAGCCTTTCTGCTTCAGATAGCTGAAAACGTCTGCATTTCACCTTCATTTTTATTTTTTTAAAGATTTTTATTGGAGAATTGGGGGGATGGGAACAGTGCTGGGGAATTGGGGAAAGGGGAACAGACAAGTTGCTGTCGTTTTGTTCTTCAATCTAGTTGTGGAGGATGTTGCTTCACTGGCCCAAGTTGGCACCATCATTGCGCTCTTCCCGGGCGAGGCAGATCAGTCGCCGGCTTCTGGACGGCCACTCACTGTGGCTGCTGGCTGCTCACACTGGCTGCTGGCTACATACGGTAGCCCATGGCAACCCACTGCCACAGGGGCTGCAGCCTACGCCATCGCCGGCGACTCATGGCAGCCCAGCTCCAGGTTGAGCTGTTGTTCAGCATCTTAGCTGTGGAGGGCAGTGTCACTGGCCCTCATATGTGGGATCCGAACCGGGGCCCTCTGGCATCCCAAGCCAGTTCTTAACCATTGTGCCACTTGGCCGGCCCTCACCTTCATTTTTGAAAGATAATTTTGCTGGGTATAGATTTCTAGGTTGGCATTCCACCCACCCCTTTTAGTACTTTAAAGATGGTGTTCCACTGTATTCTCACTTGCATTGTTTTCGATGAGAAAGCTGATGTCTTACTTTGCTTCTCTGTATATAATGTCTTTCTTTCTCCAGCTGTTTTAAAGATTTTCTTCTTGTCACTTGTTTTGAGCAATTTGATTACGTTGTGCCTTGATGTAGTTTTTTTCATGCTCCTTGTGTTTTGTGCTGATTGAGATCTGGATTTGTGGATTTATTGTTTTTGTTGTGTAGGGAGATGTTTCAGTCATTATTTCTTCAAATATTGTTTCTGTCTCTTATTTCCCTTTCAGGACTCCACTTACATGTATATTAGGTCCTTTGAAGTTGCGTCATAGCTCTCTGATTTTCTGTTCATTTAAAAAATTTCTTTCCTCTGGGTGTTTCATTTGAATAGTTTCTATTGCTGTGTCTTCAAGATCATTAATCTTTTCTTTTGCATTGTCTAATCTGACACTGATCTCATTTCGTCTGTTTTTCATTTTAGACAATGTAGTTTTTACATCTAGAAGCTTGATTTGAATATTTTTTATTTTATTTTTTATCTTCCATCTCTCTACTTAACTTTTGAAACATGGAATATGGCTAAGTAACTGATTTAATGCCCTTGTCTGCTAATTCTCATATTTGTGTCAGTTCTAGGTCAGTTTCAATTGATTGATTTTTTTCCCCCTCATTATGTGTGATATTTATTTTCTTTGCATGTCAGATAATTTCTTATTGGATATCAGACATAATGAATTTTACCTTTGGGGGTGCTGGATATTTTTGTATGCCCATCAATATGTTTGTGTTTTGTTCTGGAATGCAGCTAAATTACTTGGATACAGTGTGATCCTTGTAGATCTTGCTTTTAAGATTGGGAGACAGCACCAGATCAGAGCTTAGTCTAGGGCTAATTATTCCCCACTACCAAGGCAAGGTACTTCTGGGAATGTTACTCAGTGCCCTGTGATTTATGAGAGTTTCCAGTCTGGCTGGCGGGAACCATCACTGTTCCCAACCCTGTGTGGGTCTGGGCAATTTTCTTTAAGTTTTCCATGTGATTCTTTCCCTGGCATCGGTGGTTCGCTCACTTGCCCATACTGATTGGCAGTCTACTGAATACTGCATCATTTGGGGAGACCCTCTGTAGATCTCTGCCAGTCTTCTCTGGGTAGCCCTTTCCTCTAGGATGCTCTGTTTTCTTAGCACTGTAGCTGCCTCGGTCTCCCAGTGCTTAGCCATCTCTTCAGTTGAAGGAGGCTGCTGGGCTCCACCTTGTTCTCCCTACTTGCACCCACAGTCGGAAAACCCAGAAGACAGTAAGCCGAGGCAATTACAGGGCTCACCTCGTTTGTTTCCTGTGTCTCAGAAATCATTGTCCTTCATTGCATGATGTCCAGTGTCTTGAAAACTGTTTTATGTAGTTTATCTGATTTTCTAGTTGTTTCAGGTGGGAGAATGTATTTTGGAGGTTGTTTTTTAAAATGATATCCAGGCTGTGAGCAGTTCCTCATGCGTGTGCGTGTATGTGTGTGGGTGTGTGTGTGTGGGGGTTTACATATTATTTTGTTTTTCATAGGTAGTACCTTCTCTATCGAAAGCAAAACCTTTTAAACTGTGACCTTCAAAGATTTGCCAGAGATTTACTTAGTTTTCATAGAGCCAAGGATGGACAAAATAACCTGGCTACAGAGCATTTAGTTGCAGGTAAAATTCAGCCCATGTTCAACTAGAGGTGAGATCGTGCCAGCCTCCGCACACGTCCCTGAGGTACCGTATCAATTGTGACGTGTGCTGATTGACTTCAAATTGCCCAAATATGTACTGTTCAGAGCCATGGCCCATGGGGGATGGCGGGAGATATACTCAAGGTGGGTTGACTTTTAATCAATAGGATGATATTACCTTGTTTAATTCATACAATAGCGTTTTTAAACATCAAATGAAGCAGTTTATTATGTCAAAAAAAAAAGATGAAGGAGCACAGGAATAAAATGCCGCTGACATTATTCCTGAGTGCATTTTCTTGCGTGACAGGCCATCATGATTGGAGACGATATCGTGGGTGACGTTGGCGGTGCCCAGCGGTGTGGAATGAGAGCACTGCAGGTGCGGACTGGGAAGTTCAGGTGAGTGCATCGCCCGTGGCCTGCCTTCCTCCGTGCATTCCTGGGGTGGCCATGTTTTCGTTTTCTTTTGTTGTCCAAAGTTAAGGGGGTTACTCTATCCAAATAGAGGAACAGTGTGTGGGCATCCACAGACTTACATCACTGTCCTCTGAGGACAGGCCTCCTGGAGCACAGAGTGGTGAGCTAAAGCAGCTTTGATACCGGCTGCGAGCTGCGCAGTGGGTTTGAGTAGGTGTCTGAGGTGGAGAGGAAAAGGCTCCGGCCTTCCCAGGCTGCAGCCCCCAGGAGGTCGGGCTGCGTGTGGGCCGTGCTCCTTCGGATCCTTCACCGCATGGCAGTCGTCACCCTCTCTCCCCTCGTGCTCCGCCTCCCCTGTTCTGTGAGAGACAGACTCCCGAGATGACAGATGCTTGGTCAGGGACGGGTCAGGGATGCTCTGGAACCGAACCTCCATCTCCAGAGAAGCTTGATTTTTTGCGGAGTCAAAGGTCAGCCTGGTCTCAGGCAGGTCGCTGATGGGCCTGTTGGGGGTAGGGCCCTCGCGGGCATGGGCAGGTGCCCTGTGTGACTGGGGTCTGGCTCGCTCGGCTGTTGAGGGTACCTTAGACGTAAGAGTGTTGTCTTGCCTCATTCTGGATGGTTTTGATTGCAGCCGTTCAGAGAAGTACAACTTTGTGGACGCTGGAGAGACGTGGTTGAAACATGGGTACGCAGGGTACTGGGTTGGTGGGGCGGGGGTGCTACATCTGTCCTGAGTGATCTGCCTAGACAGGGTCAGAGGAGGACGAGAGGGCCTGACTGTCACTCTGAGGCCCCTCTCCTCGGTGACGGGCCCCGGAGCCTGTGGTTTGGGGCCTGTGGGTGGACACCAGGTAAGTGAGGAAGACGCAGTGTATCTGGGGTCTGAAGCCAGGAGGCCTGGTCCCTTCTGGCCACGTTCTGGACCCTTCCAGGTCACAGAGGCCCCCTGAAGCCCTGGCATACCTGAAATATGGACCTTTCTTCCCCAGGCTCTCAAAGGAGGGGTTCCTGGGTCCCCTCAGCAAGGGAGTGACGGAGATCCCACTTATAAACCTCAGAATATTCTGTCCAAGGGGCCAGGCTGGAGCCCTAATATCCCTAACCCCGCCTTTCCCCCAGAGTTGCAGAGCCCGGTCCTATTGCTGGGCAGTGGGACGTGGTGCCCTCTGGGTGATGCTCTGCTGCACTGTGCTGCCCGGTCCATGGGGCCACCCCAGAGTCAGCCATCCCATCAGGAGCTAGCTGTCCCAGCAGCTGGCGCCTGTTAATGAGCATCACAGGCTAGCGAGCACAGGAGCGACGCCTCCTTGATGAAAGCCCAGCAGCGTGGCTTAGAAGGAGGTGAGGAGTGAGGGCCATGAAGTTTCTGGCACAGAAATTCTTCTGGGCCCCGATTAAGCGTGGCCTCAGTTGGGTCTTTCTGGCCAGCCTAAGCTGAGAATACACTGACCTTGCCCCAGGCCTCTGGGGGGCTGGGTCTCTGAAGAAGGGCCATACACACAGTCAGGACACCCACAGATGTGCAGGGAGATGAGTGGGAGGCTGCGTCCCACCTTATACCACCTTATACGTCCTTATACCTTATACCACCGGGGTAGCGCTTCCAGAGCCCCTAATGACCCCATTTCCTGGAGAGAGAAACCCCATCAACAGTTGGCCAGATCCTTGCAGACTGCTTTCTCTGTATACAACAGATAAACATGTGGCTACTATTTTGTTTTTTACACAAATGGGATTATATTATTTCATAACCTGCTATTTCCTTGAACAATGTTTTGTGGAATCTTTCCAAGACAATTCTCCATCATTTAAAATTTAAATACCCAAGGAGACACTGTCTATAGGCACTAGTTTCATGCCAGTCACCCATCAAGCCCTCAGCCAAGGTGAGGTGGTGATGGGGATATCTGCCTCACTCCCTTCTGGTACAGCCAGCCACCTGGCCCTGAGGAGAGGATGCAGCTTAGCTTGTCTTTTCTTGACAGTATTTAAAATTTCAGACCTTTTGATTGGTCCGTTTATAAGGATGTGTATCTCCCTTTGTTACTATGCAGGAAGGAAAGAGTCTTAGCCCAGGTAAGGTAGTGAATGAGCCACCCAAAGGGGAGGCCATGTGGCCAACAGGTGGCCGGATGCTATGTGTGTGACAGCGGGCAGAGACCTCTCTCGAGCCGAGCTGTCCAGTACGATGGCCACGAGCTGCGGGTGGCTGCTGAGCACTTGAAATATGGCTGGTCCAGATTGCGATGCGTTGCAAGTGCAAAATTGCAAGATTTGAAAGACTGAGTGGGGGAGAAAGGAAGAGCTTGTTCGTAATCTTCTCTACTGATGACAGATGCTGATGCTTTATGCTGTTTTTACCTGCTTATTTTCGTTTTTACTAATGTGGCTACTAGAAAGTTCTAGCTTGCCCCTGGGGCTCTCACTGAGGCTCAGCGCATTTCTGTTGGACAGCGGGGTGGGTGGGGAGGGAGCCTGCACCTCCCCCTTCTCCCTGCAGATGGCACTCTTGGCGCACAGACTGCACCTTGGCCGGGGCTTGACCTGAAGGACAGTCTAGGAGCTATGTGCTCTGCAGACCCCATGGGGCTGGAAACCCAGGGGCCCTGTGGCACCCTGTAAGGTGCTCTCTGCAGGTGTGCAGCCGGCTCGGGCCAGTGAACAGCCTCAGAAGTCAGCTGGCACCCTGGTAACTGAGCCAGTGTCCCTCCCCTCCAGCATCCCAGGTAGCACCCAGCAAGTCCTTTTAGGGCTGCCCCTCTGGCCACCTGTGTGAGCTAGCACTAGGTTTGAAGGTCAGCATGTCTCATGTCTGCACCAGATGTGAGCTGGGCAGGGACAGGGGCTGTGTCCAGTGGTGAGGGTGAGTGTGCCCTTACTAGGTGCCGGGCCTCTTGTCCAAGCAGCCCTGAGTGGCCTCCCAGGAGCCAAGGGCCACTGGATGGGTCAGCAGGGCATTGGAAGGTGCCATGGACCCTGTCCTCTGTCAGGGGCCTTGGTCTAGTCTTGGCTGAATTGGGAGAGGAGGATGGCCTTGTCACGGGCACAGGTGGCAGACAGCCATGCAGTAAGTGAGTTCTGGGCTCAGCCTGGCCACGGGGCTACCTGTTGGCCTGAGGGCAAGGACAGGGATGGGGAGACTGAGCTGAGTGCGAATTTGAGCTGAGTGGGGGGTCCTGCCAGTCTCTGGTATTGGAAAGGGACGGGGGCAAGAGGGGGCGACACAGGGCCTCCCGACGGCCTTGGTACAGGACACCCGCTCAGGCCAACGTTTTCTAGTTGCATACACACGTGCGCGCACACACATATGTGCTTGCCCACACACACGTGCAGGGTTGTCTGAGGCTACGGCGGTGCTGAGAGCTGGGGGTTGGACTCGCCCGTGGCTGTGAGATCTCCCTGTGGCCTTTGAAGTCCTCACTCCTCGCTCTTCCTTCTGGTTTTATCACAAAGTGGCCCAAAGGGAAGAGGGTGAAGCCTCAGTGTTGGGAGAGGTCATGGGATGGCCTGAGCGTGGGAAGGACGTCTTTGCAGAGCCTGCCCCACCAGGAAAGCTTAGCCTCCTCGCAGGAAAGGCCTTGAGTTTGCCCCGGGGGCTGGGGTGCCCTCTGACAACCCCACACATTTGGAGCAGGGAGAGGCTCCCAGCCCAGACAGCTCGCAAACATGCCCCAACCCAGCAGGGCAGCCCAAGCCACAGACAGAGCAGGACAAAGCTTGCTTTTCATACCTGCTGCTCAGACGTCCAGCCCCGTCAGGGTGTGGCCCTCACCTGGCTGGCAGGTAAAGGCCTTTCAGGTGCGCTCCCCATCTGCCCTGCTCCTGGCCTGTCTGACGCATTGGGCCTGCTGCAGAACCCCCCAGCCTGAGGCCAGGAAGTCGCTGCTCCTCCAGACCCCTTGAGATTCCACCTTGACCTCAGGCCCCGGAGGGACCGGCGTGTTCCCTCCACTGGGGTCCTGCGCCCATCGATGGCAAGCAGTTGTGGGCCCAGAGGCTGCTGCTCCGCCGTGCGTTGCTGGGAGAGGCCTTTTCAGATGAGGCTGCTGGCCTTGCCCAAGGCCACCTAGTGAGGTGCCTTTGCTGCCACCTTTCGTATGCTGGGAATTCCCTGTCCTTGTGGCCAAATTCTGCAGAGCGGCAGCAGCTCTGGGGGCCTGCCTGGAGGCCCCCTCTTTTCTCCCAGTGACAGGCTTCATCTCCCGTGGGGACGGGGGCTGGGCCCAGGCCCTGCGTACCCTCATTCTGGCAAATTCAGGCAAGGGGTGTCTTCCCAGTATCATCCCTGTCGGTCCCCAGTGGAGGAAGAACAGCTGTCAGTGCATCTGACAGACCCCTCCTCCTGGGGACCTGCCAGAAACGGGACAGTGTTGCCCTGAGCTGCTCCCCCCTCACTCTGTTCCCCATTCCATGCTGCGCACCGCAGCCGGCAGCCTGGTTCTAAGCACAACTGCAGGCGTCTCTGGGTGAAGGCCCCGCCCCCTCAAAGTCGTGCTGTATAAATGAGCCAGCTGCTTGGGGCCCACAATGGGTGGTCCCTTATTTGTATTTACTCAAGGTTGGAAGACGTTTTAGGAGCCCAGGACGTTCTTGACAGGCAGTTTGCCCTTTTAGACTTGGCACTCTATTTGCACCCAAGCTCAGCTGGGGCCTGGGTGCACTTGGGAGCTTTCCACCCCGCAGGGCGGCTGACGGCTCTGGGGTTCCTTGCACAAGGCTGGAAGATGAGGGATGCACAGAACTGGACGGTGGGACCCGAGGCGGGTGGAGCAACCCCAGAGCCTGAGTCGGTTGCACTGAGAGTGCTGCTGCCAAAGCATCGCCCATCGACTGGGTCTCCCATGACTCTGCCGCCACTGACTTCAGAATTTTTCCTGTAAGAGGCTGTGGTTTCTGTTTGGAATGAACTAGGATTTTCCTCTAGTGCCAGGTGGTATTTGAGGGGAGCGGGTGGACCCAGGTGTTAATTTTTCGGCAGT